TAATACTAAGATAGCTATATAGAAAAGAAAAAGAGAAATAAAATAATAGTATAAAATAAGAGTATAATATAGATAGAATATATACTTATAATTACTTATTACTAGGGATAACTATATAGATAGTAGAGAAACTAAATAATAAAGTATATATATATCTAGATTAATATATATAATATATCTTTTTAATAAAAATATAAAAAATTAGAATTATATATATTTATTTCTTATATTTATAGAAAATTATAAAAAAGCTTATAATTAAAAAAGCTATTTATACTAAATAAGAAAATAAAAAACTATCTATATTAGTATATTAAATATTTCTACTAGTAGTTATAAGTTAGAAGCTAGTAATAGAATAATCTACTTAGTAAAGATTACTCTAAAACTAGCTTTATAAATAGTTTACTTCTATAGCTAGAGTAGTAACTTAATTAATAATCTTATAATCTATCTATTTATAAGTATATACTTTAGAAAAGCCTTCTAATATAAACCCTTATATAGTTATTATAGATTATAATATAATACTAAAAAATATAGCTATAGCTATCTATCTTAATACTTAATAATAGCTATATATTTAATATATTAATAAGAATATTATACTTAATATTAAGTAGAAGTAATTAGAATCTTTAGATAGATATAAGATTATAGGGAAAGTTACTAAGGATTTATTAGAAGTTTAAAATTTATTAGAAGTAGAAACTTTATTATTTATTACTAATAAGTTAATAGCTAAATTAATAGCTCTTAAAGAAAGCTAATAAGATAATTCTAATAAGAGGCTAGTTATAGGAAGAGAAAATACTATAGCTATATTAATAGTAGCTACTTTATAACCCTTAGAACTTAAGCTTATTTTAATAAATAACTATAAGTTCCCTAATATAGTAAATAGAGTCTTTATAAGTTAGAAAGATCTTATATAAGTAATTATATATAATATCTTTATTAAATAATAGGCTTATTTTAAAATAGAATTCTTAGAGTAATTTAATCTTATTATCTATTTTAAAAACTACTATATCCTTATAGCTAAATAATTTACTAAATTTACTATTAAGTTATTTTAAAATTATAATCTAAGAGTTACCTTATAGCTTAAGAGTTTATATTATAAATTAAAATTAACTCTTAGTAGTTATTTTATTAATCTTTTTATCTTAGAAATACTTATCTTTAAGATAACCTAGTTATAAAGAACTATCTATTTTTAGAAGTTTTACTTTTAATAAAGAAAGTATTAGATTAAATAGGATAAATATACTATAATATAGCTTTTTATAAATAAACTCAGCTAGATTATATTAGATAAGATCTTTAAGTAATTAGAATTAATCTTTAAAGAATTTTAAAGGAAGATTAGAGTTATATCTTATATAAATAGATTATTTAAATAATAAGATCTTCTTTACTATTATTAAATTTATTAATTTCTTCTTTTTAATAAACTACTCAGATTAAAAAATATTAATAGTTATTAATAGGTAAAAGCTTTTATAATAAGTAATTAATCTAATTCTTAACTTCTAATCTTATAACTAACTTTCCTATTAGAAAGAGTAATAGTAGGTTCTTAACTATATATAAAAGCTTTATTTTAATATAATTTAATAGTACTATAGAGCTAAAAATACTTCTCTATTTCTTTCTAAATTTAAAGCTCTAAATAGCTAGATTCTAAGTAATTAGAAGGTTTATAAGGTTTCTCTTTAGTAGTTATAATAATAGCTAAATTTAATAATAAGAGAAGGCTAGAGTTATAATTAGTAGTAATAAGAGTAGAGCTTAAGGTTATAAGGTTAGAGCTTATAGTTATAAACTTATATATAAAGGCTCTTACTAATACTATTTATATTATTTTTTAGCTATAAGTAAGGTTATCCTAAGATCAGGTATAATATATAATAAGTTATATATAGAGTTTATTATATATAGTTATTAATCTATACCTAGACCTTCTTCTATACAGAGTTTAAGTTAAAACTTATATTTATAGCCTAGGTATAGATATTAATATCTTAAAAACTCTAATAATAGGAGCTATTTATATAACTAGATATATAAAGCTATCTATAGCTATAGCCCCTATAAGGGAAAACTTATTATCTATTAATAGAATAACTACTTTCCTAAGCTTATTAATTAAATACCTTATTAATTATAACTATCTACTTATTAATTACTAACTATAATCTTTAAATAATAATAGCTATTATATCTATTTCTAATATAAATATCCTAACCTCTTAGAGCTTAATAATTACTTCTAATAAGATCCTTTAAGATATAATAGTAGTTATTAGAGATAATTTATATTAGTTATTTACTAACTATATTTAGTATTTATCCCTCTAATTAATTAAGGGCCTACTAATAGCTATAAAGATACTATTAACTATATAGATCTAGGAGCTATATCTACTAGGACTATTACTTTATAATATAGCTTATAGCTACTAGATACTACTATAGGTACTACTATAGGAATTAGAATTAGATCTAGATTTACTGTATTTTATATATCTTAAGTATAATAACCTACTTATATAGGCTTATTATAATCAGAGATATAACTTATAGTTTTAGTATATTATATACTATATTAAGCTGATTAAGGGAGAAGTAGTTCTTAAAAATTAGTTTTATATTATAGAGTTTAGATTTTAATTTTTAGTATTCAGATTAGGGTATTAGGTTAGGTTAGATTAGATATAATACTAGAAAAGTATTTAAAAGTTTATTACTAGTTAGGAAAATTATTATCTAGAAAAATTAAATCTAGAATATTAATTTTAAATTTATCTCTATAAGTATAGTATATATTTACTATAAGTAAAAGCTCCTGAGATCTATATAGAGATATATTTTAATCTATATCTATTTATCTATATATATATTTTAAATCACAGGGGGACTAATACTATTATAAATACTATTATAAATACTATTATAATAATAATCTAATCCTATAATAATCTTACTTATAGATTAGATTTAAACTCTTATAGTAATAATATAATACTAAATTAAGAGCTAAAGTTAGCTATATCTTCTTATAAGAGTATTAGTAGTAAATTATCTAGTTCTAGGGTTTCTAGTACTCTTATAACTATCTCTCTTATAGTTAAATTTTATAAGTTATTCTTTAAATTAATCTATAAGTTATCCTTTAAGTTATCTCTTAAGTTATCTAAATAGTAGCTAAGTAGTATTACTAGTAATACCTTTATATAATTTAGCTATAGTAGTTCTATTACTATATTATAAGCCTAAAAGATACTTTATCTTTATAAATAGCTTCTCTAGCTAGCTTATAATATACTTAATTTATATAAATATATAATAAAAATTATAATATATAATTTATAGATATATATTATAATATACTAAACAGGGGGTAAATATACTGCTTATTTTAGGGGTTAAGATTACTAATATAAAAGGGAAAGCATTATCAATTTACAAGACAGGGGCGTTGATTTTTGGGTTCTCTTGACAGGCCGAGCATTGACCTCCCTTGGAGCTCTACGGCTGTGGTGGAGAGCACTGCTGCGATTTGCCCCAACACGGTTGTCATCATACATAGCCTTGGAGTAGTCACTCTGCCCTGGGCTGACAATTAGAACCTCACCGTGATCCTCTCGGCTCACTACCCTGGCGAGGAAATCGGCAACTCCATCGTGGACGTTCTTTGGGGAGCTACTCCACCTTTTGGCTGTCTGCTTTACACTATCCCCAAGACTCTGGAGGACTACAGGCCGCCCATCTTCAACCTCACAACGCCTCCCGTGAGCCTTGATGCGTGGCAGACGAATTTCACTGAGGGTCTTATAATTGATAACCGTCACTTCGATGCCAATGACATTGAGCCTCAGTATGAGTTTGGTTTTGGTCTGACTTATGCCAAATTTGAGCTAGAAGGAGAGGTTGACTTAAAATTGAGCGGCACTCTCGCCCCAAATGCAGACAAGTCGAAGGGCAGTGCACCCGGTGGTCTCAAAGATCTATGGACTGAGTTCCTCACTGTAGATGCACAGGTGAAAAACTCGGGTGAAGTTGATGGGCATGCTGTTCTACAACTTTATCTTACGTTCCCCCAGGACACCACACCGGCCCAAACACACGTCCAAGTACTCCGGGGCTTCCACAAGGTCTTTATCAAAGCAGGGACAACCTCAACGGTGAGAGTCTCCTTGATGAGGAGAGATGTTAGCTTCTGGGATGAGAAGAGCGATCAGTGGGTGATTCCAGAAGGTGACTTCACTTTCAAAGTCGGATTCAGCTCTCGGGATAAGGCTGCACTGTCGGATACGGCTAGCTTGCTCTCACGTATGGAGGAGTTGTCATAGGTTTTAGACAGAGTTATATGATACATGTTATGACACAGAGGCGGCGGTAAGCAAAGCTCTCAAGTTTTGGTCAATATAACTTCGTTTGGCTTACTGAGAAATAAGACTCCAGTATATCTCGGTCACAACCATAAACTACTTTATCGTTTGGCCTTCATTTAGAGAAATCTTTCAGATTTCTATGCAAATTTGACTATGGTCCAACTATAGAATGCAGCCTGAGGGTCTAGCTTCTTGGACTCAAAGAAAACTACGACTCCACCTTTAATGGTAACACCGGCCAGGTTTTACCCCTATTGAAGCTTGCTTGGAAGCACTCAGTACCAGGGCCAACATTCTCCCTCCTTTCTCCGCTACCCTGTGGGGAAACGACCTCTGCCGTCGAGCCGTAGGGAACAGTGACCGTGATAGATACAGAACTCTGCTCCTTATCCCCGTGTCTAGTCTCCCAAGAGCAAGACACAATGCCATGTGGAGTAATGTGCTCTGCTAATGCATGTGAAAAGGCAGCGCTGATGAGAGGCGCTACTGAGATTGTTTTCCATCCTGGGTCGACGCGCTTCAGTCCTGCAACCCTTTCATGGAAGGTCTATGGGCGTATATGATCACGCTGGTGGAGATATTTGGCGAAATTCAAGAGCTGAGCATGAGGGCTGCTCCAAGCTTGCCGGATAATCAATGCATGCATGTCGACGACCAGGTGGCCTTTCTGGGCGAAGCTCTATCATCCTGGGAGGCAAACTTTCCTGAGCATGTTCGGTATAGCAAGGCAAACCTTCTCGCTTTCCGAGCTTAGGAACTGGGTGGTCCCTTCGTGGCGCTGCATCAGGGGTATTATCACTACCGCATGCTACTGTATTACCAATACTTAGATACCAAACGGGCAACTACAGAAAAGACTGCACGATTCTCGAAATTCTGTCAGCATAGCGCTCTTGCCCATAGTAATCTGCTGGCTCTCCCGCGAGATGTTGGGCAATGCGACGTTCTGTATGCAGGGGTAGGACACAGCACGGTAATTTCCTCGTCCGTCCTGCTTCACACTGCCATGTTCGGTGACTCGGATGAAATCATGCCTGCGCAGCAAGCTCTTCAAGCCAATTTCAAAATGCTCCAAGAGCTCTCGCCATATTGGCCTTCCCTAGACTTGACCATACGTCGTCTCAGTCAGTTCCAGCTGCGATGTACCGAGGGCGATGCGATCAGGGCATACGACTTTGACGAGTGGATGGTAGCATTTCTTTTGAGGTATCATTTGACGCTAGACGAGAAACGGTCTCGCGGGGTAGCCAAGAATGACATCGCTCTATTCCCTGTGTGCTGAATCCGAACTCCTCGTATTGGGAGTCCACCCATGGGTGGAACCAGCATTGTATATAAGTAGCTCTCACTGCCATATTGGTTCATTATGTTCTTCAACAAGGCCGTCGGGTGTTTGGTTCAGAATCATGCTTTTCTCTAGCTTCCACCTCGTTTTCACAGTCGGCCTCGCAAGTCAGGTCGTCTTTTCCGCCGTTCCATCACCACCAGCACCTGAACCCATCAGTATCACTGAATTGCCTTTGCCACCAGTCGCGATCGACAAATGTACCATTGAGCTGAGTCCGAATGGCACTGGCTGCATCGGTCAAGGCAAAGATGGTGCTGGCTTTCAGGCCGGAAGCTTCTTACCAGACAGTAAACACATTGTTGCCCACGTCACTTATAGCGGTGCCCCGGACGCACCCGACCCAGCCAGTATCTTCACAGGGGAACATATCATCTTGGTCAAGACGGATGGCAGTTCATTTTCTAATGGGGTGCCGTGGAAGTGTCTCACCTGCGGTGTTCCCGCGGAGAATGCTCAGGGGCTTTCGAATACCTTCGATTATCCTAACTCGTTTATGGACGGCCGTCGCATACTCTTTGGCACCAACATCCTGGATTGTGGCGAGAACGACCTTACAAGCGATGATTGCACCCCAGAGACTACCTACATCTATCCAATCCGGTGGAATACCTCGCCAGATGGCTCGGGAGCAGGCGGGAGCATTCGGGAACTGCGACTCCATCCAGACGGTGTCCATCTCGGCTTCAGCTCTTTCCGCGTCGACGGACACTCCTTGGGCCAGGATAGCTACTTCTCTCGCCTTACCTTCAATCCCAGTCCAACAACAGGTGAACCGTTAGTCCCGCGCTACGATTTGGAAAGTGTCACGAGGCTGTCCAACCCCAATAACCCTCCACCTTTTGTGGCAGACGGCGACAAATTGTCGTGGAATCCACTGACGAACTATGTCGGCGAGTTGCGTGGCTTCAGCGGCCGCGGGGACGAGGTCACATATATCGGAACCTCGGTCGAGTCGTGCAATGTGGATGTTTTTGCCGTCAAGCTGGATAGTGGCGAGGTGCGCCGCCTCACCGCGGACCCAGAGTACGTCGATCCGGTCGATATCTCCCCAGACAACGAGTGGACCGTCGTGATGGATACCCGTCGCACCGATCGACAGATGTTCATGGCCGGCATGCGCGGTGTTCCGCCACTGATTGATTTGATTGCAACCTCCGTCGCCTCTACCACACGCAACAATTACCAGCGACGGTTCTTTCAGCCCTGGCTCATCGACCGCTATGGCGACCGGGGAGACTACTATGGCCAGAAGATCAATGTCGAGGGCTCTGGCGTCCCAGGAAGCGCTGATATCAACGACCCTGAGTGGAACGGGCGAGCAGACCCAAAGTGGTCACCCGATGGAACGAAGATTGTGTACTGGCAAGACTTAACTGCGTCACCCGCCTGTGGGGGGGAGAACCCACTACCCTGCTATGACTCGCCATATCAAGGAGGTCGCTACGTCCGCTTCATGGTCGCGGAACTCACTAGCCGTGAGCCAAAAGACCTTGCTAGGGTAGACCCTGTCTCGGATGCGGTAGCATGGGGCACACCATATGTTCCCGGTGAAGATGCCCCCTCGATTCCACGTCCGCCTCAGGGGCAATATACCTTGTACGGCGCTGAGAGCGGTCATGCGAACGTCAACATCGTTGATAATGCCGATGTAGATACAATCAAGAGCGTGGCGGTCAACTATCAAGACTACTCTGATGACGGCTTAACCTTCTTGAACGGGTATGAGAATTTCACGCGCGTAAACCCCTCTGTGACTGTCGAGAATGCCATCTGGTTCTCTGATATTGTACAGACCGGCAACGTCAATGCTACTAAAAAGACGAGCGCTGATGGTTTTCGCCTCACCATTGACGTCCTAGTAAACGTGTTGGAGGCAGAGGGAACGCTGACTACAACAATTGATGGAAAGGTGTACAAGCAACCAGCCAATCGCACATAAAACATGAGCTTGTCTGCGAGTGAATCATACTTAGGTAGTAAAGAAGTAATATATTGGCCGTTTTCTAGCGATTTGATGCCTGATATTGCTTTGAAACGGCAGTCTACATTCAACACCCTCCAAAGATGGAGGATATCAGCAACCTAATGTTCGTACCATCAAAGACTGAACAGATGCTACAACTGCTAGCGCTACACATACTCGGCTAAGTCTCCCAAGTACGGGGAACTCACCCACGTCCAGCTGAATCCTGGCCCGAGGCTTTGAGCCTGGGTCATGGTCAGGGGTTGCGCGCCTCGCTTGGCCAAGCTTGATCCATGAATAACGTCACTCTGCATTGCGCTCGGCTAAAATTGGGCAGTTACATTTCAGCCATCGCACCTCGAATCTTCCCCTCCGATGTTGCGGGGTTTTCTCTTTAGGCAAAGTAGTTGGTTTCAATTGCTGAAATGGGCTCGCGCAACACAGGTGACAGCACCTTTCGCCTGTTTCAAAAACCAACTTCCTAAGATGAAGCTAGGTTCACAATGGAGAGTCAGCGTCGCTGTACCTTTAATTGTCTCTCTCTGTCTGTACGCTCCCGTCGTCCATTCATACCCGAACCCTCCACCCTTTACAGATTGGGGCTCCGTTAGATGCCCACCCGAGGGTTCTTCAGCAACACTTCCGACTCCGACTTACGGCTCGGGACAGGGACTCTTTGTCGTCTGCACTGAGGACGTCATCAACGTCCCGGCCCAAGAAGTCTACACGGCTCTGCTCGATTTCCAGCGCTATCCCACGTTTAGCAACTTCGTCATCGACATTGACTTTCCCGATGACTTTGTCGGCAAGACGCCTGACGACGTCTACATAGGTCTGCTCATGACCTTTCATTCGACTGGCGTTTTCCCTCTCGTCAACACGACGAGCCCTGAGATGGTTACGGTCATGAAGGATTCGCCTGACGAGGGGTATCTCATAGTGAGCTGGAAGTACGATGATGGCCTCGAAGGTGCATTTCTGAGTACGGAGCACCCCACGATCCTGATTGATCAAGGTGATGGAACGACACTTTGCATATCGTACGAGACCTACTTCTCGGGTCCGGGGGCTTTGGTCTTGCTTCCCTTCAAGGACAATCTACAAGCGCAGTTTGCTCAACACGCCGCCGATCTGAAAGCATATCTGGAGAATTAATGCCAGCTTTGATGCCCAAATTGTTGTTGATTCGAGAGTCAATAAGTGTTTTACTGTATATCTTGACTTTCACACGCTTTCGATAGCATAGATAGAACAAAATAACAAGCTTGATTCAATCAGACATTGGGGCAGCCATTTGAAGTGGATTCGACTAGGGTAGAAGCTCGCAAACCTCGGAAACCTTGCGAACCCGAGCGAGTTCGGGTTTCTCGCATACAACCCGAGGCGAGTACATAGGAACGGTGATCGACAGCCTCAGTTGCTAACGCATCTAACCAGTGCAAGTTGTCGGCTACGCTGCTCGTTCTGTGGCTAGAAATAAGACCGACCAGCTCATACCCTACGTTATCCAGAGCACTTTCATCCTCGTCTCGCCGGCTCTATTCGCGGCTTCCGTCTACATGGTTCTAGCTCGTATAATTCGCAGCTTGAACGCCGAGTCACTGTCGATCATTCCCATTAAGTGGCTTACCAAGATCTTCGTTGCCGGTGATGTGATCTCCTTCGTTGTCCAAGCCAGCGGGGCCGGTATTATGGCCTCGGGTGGTTCAATGTCAACGCGTGAAAATATCATCCTTTGTGGTCTTTTCGTGCAGATTATCGTCTTTGGAGTCTTTGTCATCACATCGGCCATTTTTCACAAGCGATTCAACTCGTCTCAAGTGGCACATGTCCTTTACGCGGCCAATAATCAGGAGCGGGTGAAGATCATGCATATGCTTTACGCCGTGAGTGGACTTATCATGGTCCGATCCATATTCCGAGTCGTGGAGTACATCATGGGGCATGATGGCTACTTGCTCGCGAATGAGTGGCCGCTATATATATTTGACGCAGTTCTGATGTTCTTTGTTGTCGTTCTCTTTGGCTGGAGATTCCCTAGCTACCTAGCAAAGGGCAACACAAAGAACACGCCAGATGCCGAGTCTTCTCCTAGCGAGCAGTACATGATGGATATACGAGACACCAAATAACGCCAACTGTCCATATCAGAGCTCTTCAGTCAAAGAGCTAATATATTTGTCCGCTATACTTCACTGGCGGCGGTTACTTCACATACTTGCATCGTATGTTTGGAATCTAGGTTTAAGATAGACAGCGATAGATTAACTCAGCTTTAATTGGAAATATCGCGAATTACTATAAATATTACCAATAGACTCCCTCTAATAAGTGTATACGACAAATCTCCCACTCATGAGTACCTGTTGCATCAAGCACAACTTCATAGAACTTAAGTAGACTCCTTTGATTTCCCACCGCTGTCGGAGCCTTGGAGACTGCTTCTCTTGTTCTTATGGTGGAAGCCGAAACCAGGATTTCCAACAAGAAGCGATATGACGGCCAAGTAGATAAGTCTACGGGTGATCATCACATAGTTAGTTACATGTTCTCAGTAGACATGTTCCTCAGAATATTGGATAACTTACACTCCCTCTAAGCCGATAAACATCCCCTGCTTAGTGATCTTCTCAGAGTTGCGGTAGCCTTGACTGAGTTCATTCACACGATAACAGCATCGGATGAGGATCAGAGTGATGGCAGACGCAAGTCCTCCAAAAAAGATGCGTTGCCTTGTTGCAATAGCCTTCTCGCCCGGCTGAAGCCTCGATTTCTGTCTTCTGATATATCGGATCATGTAGTCAGCGAAGAAGGCGCAGAAGACGACAAGCACCACCACTTGCAGGCTGAGACCGGCCATTGCAATGTGGAGGCCTGTATTTGAGGCTCCGCTGGAGGTAGAGGATAGAGCTCCGCCGATGGATTGGAGCACGAGACAAATGATGTCGGAGCTGATGAAGAGCCAGTAAAAAGCTCGCGGGGGCAGACGGCTCATCTCAGGTGAGAAGAATTGAATTCTAGAATTAATGGTCAATGTTTGCCATTGTTTTTTCAGGCTGCGTATGAGAGCCTAACTCACGCTCGGGACAGTGTGATGTAAATAGCGGCTGTGAAGAACACTGGACAGCCGGTAATGCATATCATCTGGGTCAGAAACCCAGTGAATGACCATGGGTTTATCCACAGCATGACACGGCCGCCGTAGCCAACCATCGACCATATGCAGCCAATGATAATGAAGGTCATGAAGCCCCAGATTCTCCATCGAATTCCGAGGTAAATATGCAAAAGTAGAGCGACACCGTAGAGAGCTATGAAGAGCGCGTTGGCAGGCAGGCTGGGGCGGTACTTGTACACGGTCCACTCGATGGGGCAAAGCTGTGTATGGCGATTAGTACGATAGCAGGTCGGTTGTTTTATGAGGGCCAGCCTTATCTAAAGTGCAGTTGGAGCCACGTCCAAAGGTTTTGAACATGGCACGATCTACATAAGATCCATTGGGAAGCTCATAGAGATACTCTGGCGGGATGCCAGACAACTTGGCGGTTTCAGCATCCATGGTGAGCGTAGAGGGCGCAAAAACTTGTACTCGGTCAAGTTATCGTCACCTGAGAAATGCTTTTACGGCCAGTCGAAGGAAGGTTGGAGCATATGCGTGTGCTTCTGAGCTTGGATACAGTCGTATGCTGGCTGCTAACATCAACATCAAGGCCACACAACTCACGTGCCCGTGAAACGATGCGTGGCGTTCTCTTTTAACATTTTCGAATCATGTAACACCTAGCCCAAATATATCTATCTCGTCATAGTAGGGCTAGAGCAATTGACGGATTTGGCTTGTACGCCACAACCCATGGGGAATGTAAATCTTAATTCTCGGCCTTCGGTGACCTCGTTCGTGCCAGCGAGTTGAGGAATTGGGACGATTGCCTACGGTCTAGCAATGGAATGTAAGTGACCTGATGGCCCAATCACAGCCATGAGGCAAAGCTTTAAATCGAGGTTAAGATCTGGGCCATTCTTGGTGGGTGGTAACGTTGTCAAGTGATTATTCGGCTGGTAATAGTTCAAGATGATAACCGTCAGCGTACTCTTATTCCATAACCTTGAAGGAATAAGGCCAGGCAAATTTAGCTCATGCTTGGCTGCCCGTAGAGGTCATCTGATAAGCATCGAAATAAATCTTTGGGGTACAACCAGATATCAAGATATGACGATGCCATAAGCAAAGCACACCCATTCTCTCCTCTTAGTAGTCATTATTACAGCAGCTAGCTATTCCTTTGATCCATGTAACGAGACTCTTCATTGAAGGTCTATGTATTACCTTTCGCGTTACTTTATTTTGATAATGGTGTGGCTGATCGACAGCAGATACGCTTGTTAGTGGATGGGCTTGCCCAGTTCCGGTTCGAGACTGGCCGAGCCCGACTAAATCGGCCTCGGGATCGATCCATCAGAAGACCTGCTGGACGGCAATCGCCACTAATCGATTTGTTCTATTTTATCAGCCATTCGAGCAATACGACCCCGCCTCCTTCATCAAGTTCGTGTTTTCATTGTTGAGGTTTGACAACATGAACTCCTTCCCCAAGGTTGTGTTGCCGGAGCTCCTCATTGTGGGACATCGCCAGAACTTCAACCTAAACGGCATGCCTCATGTCGTGCCATAACCATGGATCAATCTAATAAAAGTCTCTTCGAGTATAATTACTTTGTGATTAAGACGAAACTCATTTCGTAGGCTACACGGATCCGGGAATTATGCATGATTTATGATGAAGATCTCTGCTTTACTAGGAAAGGCGTACTCTTTATGAAATTTATACGCTTTTGGCAGTCTCAGGCGGAGTTTCCCGATCTCCCCGATTCACGATTTGTGCCAAAATTAGCTCCTGAATTTACTTGTGTATCGTCTACCCTATAGTCACTTGCTCTCAACCTCCCAACCATCATGTTGCCCCTGAATTCTGATGTACAAGGCAAATAAAGATTGAATATTATAATGGCACATAGCAATTTCATTAAACCGAATTCTTAAGTCTATATATTGGAACAATATTGCTTCCTTGAATATGTGGTGTGGTAAACACTCGTTTAATGTCTAACATACCTACATAAGTGACCTTACGAAAGAAGACTCAACCTCCATTCAACCTTCGTTGAACACGCATTGACAAATAATGACGCAATGAAGAACTGTATAGTGTTAACCAATTGAAGATTAGCTTGATTAAGATCTAATTTCATCTTGCACAAAAGTTATGCTACAGGACGCCTGATTTCGACGCCAGCACTGAATGTGAGACTTTATTTTGATGCACGCGTCTGTCCGTTACCGTCTCCGTCACGACTTGCATCCCTTTACATGCAGCAATCTCATCGCTCATCGCACGACACACGCCCTGCACATCCGCCATCGCGCGTGGTTTTTGCTGGTCTGTAGGGCTGGCGGCGCTGAGCAAGCCGGGCACGCGTAACCTCTGTTATGGTCGCGAAAACACGACCTAATCCCATATTGATCTGGGTTGATTTGCCAGCTTCTTTCTCACAAATGTAGCCTTTTGGACAGATGTATTTGTCATGAACTGAATGTTTCCTAGAGATTTGAGTAACCAACATCTTTACAGCTTTGAACCCCTTGCTTTCGCGTGCTTCATCTCTTGGCGAACCGCGAGATCCGTGATGATTTCCTCGCTCCCTCCACCGACGATGGACATTCTCAAATCCCGGCTGATCTGCTCTACGCGTCTACCAATGCCACCCCGTTGATATCCGTTTCCACCCAATATCTGTTGGGCTTCTCGATTCGCCAGCTCGAGCAGCCTTCCACCCTGCACCTTGCAAAGGGCGATTCTTGAGGACAACTCCGGACCGATGCCTCCCGTGGCCTTGATATGATATGCAATCTGTTCAACCCAAGCCCAGTGGGATTCGATATACCGTGCCATCGTAGCGAGCTTATGCCGGATGACTTGATGCCCAAACAATGTCTGTCCAAAGGTGTGACGGTCTATAGAGTAAGCCCACGCATCTTCTAGACAAACTCTGGCGTAGGAGTTCATGTTCACGCACATGAGGAAGCGTTCATCGTTAAAATCTAGGTGCAGGTAAGCTCTTCGCGCCCGTCGTTAACGTATAGCATCAGATCTTACTCGTCATGAGATATGCAAAACCATGATTCTCTCTTCCAATCAAGTTCTCCACGGGCACCTTGACATTGTCCAAAGTTACCCAAGCACTTCCGGCAGCGTTGGCTCCGCTATTTTTGATCTTGCGACGTGAGATACCAGGCAGGTATAGCGGTATGACAAGAACAGACACTCCCTTGGCTCCCGGGCCACCCGTTCGCACTGCGGTGGTCATATGGGTCGAAACTAGAGCTCCAGAAATCCATTTCTATGTCGAGATCTTAGCTTTCTTGAAGGCCCCAGGGCAATGTACATGTGAGGTCGATCCCGGTTACCTTGTGGCCGTTTACAATATAGAACTTTCCGTCGGGCGATTTCTTAGCAGTCGTTTTTAAATTCGCTAGGTCGGAGCCACCTAGAAACTGTCAGAGTACATTCATTATCTCCGCAAGGATATTGAAGAAGCAACCTGATGGCTCCGTGGCACCAAGACAAAATCTCGTCTCCCCTGTGAAGATGCCGGGAAGCCAGCGCTCTCGTTGCTCCTCGTTCCCATGATTGACGATAGGAGGAGCCCCAATGACTGAACCACCACCCAGACATCCCACATATCCAACGCGTGCGGTTTCTGAATGCAGAATTATGAAGTGGAAGATGTCCCACTCTAGCAATCTATCAGCCTAAATCTACTTTATCGCCTTGTCTTGTCATACCTTTTTCGGGAATGCCAGCTGGGAGGCCGATGCCTGGCCTGTATTTCTCTGGCATGTCCTGGAAAGCGAGACCAGACCGAGCCCAACGAACAATCTCATCCAGAGGCACCTCGCCAGTCTCCTCCCACTCTTCAACAACAGGAACTACGTGCTTCTCGAGGTAGTCACGCACGAAGGCTCGAAGCTTGCGATGACTCTCATTGTAGTACGGCGACTCAAGGACATTGTACCAGGCTGGCTCGGCGAATGGCGCCGGGTTTCCAAACGGATGAGATACAGTGAGTTTTCCTGTCATTGTGGGGCATTCGATGGTATGCGGCTGTGAATCGTTGAAATTATATGTACCTAAGAGCCATATGCCGTTGATTGAACTGGTCAATGCATGCTCCGTGATTGTCATTAAATAACACCAATTTGGCTCTTGTAGGCAGAGGGATCGGTTGTATTACTCCGGGATAGACGCATACAACCGGGATATGTCAAAGAAGTCACTTTCACCCCGCTAATTTGCGATCGAAAGGCGGGAAATGCGCACCTCCAACAACGTTCATTATGCCCTATTTAGCCGTGGTTAAGTCAGCCGTGATCACTCGCTTGTTCTATAGATGTTGTTGTAAATGATAACGCATTGGTAGATTTCACCAATTACCGAGGTGTTAACCGTGCATGTCGCTCGCTTTTGATCTATGGAGATGAAGATGAAGATGAAGATGCTCAATATCTAACAAAAAACAGTATTGCTATGCACGGAGTGAAAAACCAGAACGTTCCTCCAAGCGACATGTGAACTCTAGATTCCATTACTAGCACAAGAGAAGGGACTTGACACTGTCCCCGCCGCGTATTCGTCCATAATGCCCCTGACGCTGGAATAAGTACCGACTGTAAGCAGCAGGATTCCCACGCCAATCAGAATGATGTTGACCACGATACCAACCCAGTCGATAATGGCATTGTGCTTTCGGCCTACAGCTCTGTCTGCGGATCGCATTCTGAAGTACGCAACTGCCCAGAAGATGAAGCCGAACCACGGGTTGAATAATGAAGACATGACATTCAGCACTACGGCAATGTGTCAGACGAACAATCATTTAAGACCAGGGAAGGCCATGTGAAAGCAAGGGGAAAGGGCGACTCACAAGAGTTGAAGAACGGAATGACTGAAGCAATGATAAACGAAAAGATCCAAATAACGATGATGATTCCGGTCCAAGACGCCCAGCCCACAACGGTGTGGCTGTTGAGATGCCTGGAGTTCCGGAATAGGCGGAAGAAAACAAACCGCACCGTTACTGAGGCGTATAGGCATCCGAGAAAGATTATAGTCGGGATCATGAACGAAAAAGCGATCTTCTTGTATTTGTCTTGAAGCGAGCCAAAGGCCGGAGAGGTAATGTACTGGTTTCCAGAGTAGGCATAGGTCACACCGCCAACAATGCTGAAGACGAACACCTCGGCCACGGTGCAAAGCCAGAGGGCCTTGGGGAATTCGCTATATCATTTTGTCACATGAGTATACTATTCAAGTTTGGGTTGGTCGAGTTTTCCCTACCGAGGGTCACGCATCTCAGCAATGAAGCTGGGGAGGGTGATTTGTCCGCTGAAGGTGAACACGATGTTCAAGAAAGCAGAAATTCCATTTACCCAGGACGCGCCTTTGACGGGAAAGGCCGTCACAAGTGGCTCGCCGAGTTTCACAGGGTCGTAAAGAGCCGGCTTGCCCTGTGCTCCGGAGAAGGCAGCGGCGAGAACGACAGAGACGAATGTGAACAGGGCAGATGCGGTGCCAAGCTTAGACATCATATCAAAGGTGCGAGGAAGCGTAAACAAGCAACATATGATGGCAGTCACAACCGAGAATAGGACAGTGCGGCAGTGACCAATATCGTCAGACTCGGTCATCGTGTTGAGATACTTGGCTCCTACCAGCACATGCAGACCCTAACACAATGGCAAAAATATAAGCTCAGTCGATCATCACACGAGAAAACAAGAGGGATGAATGGAGAATCAAGGAGGATCAGCAAATTCGCAAGTCATGGTACCTGAAGGAAAGAGTTATTGAGGATGAAGCAAATCGCAGTCCCCCACCAAGCCCATTCCTTGCCCCAGAAGAGCATTTGGCCCAAGTCGCAGACATCACGGATTTCAGGGTGGCGCAGGCAAAACTTCCACAGAATCAGACTGGTGTACTGCACGACGGCGGCGATGGCAACGGTGACGATGATGCCCGGCACGAGACCAAGGACAGAGTAGCTCCACGGAAAGGACATGATGGCGAGGCAGATGTACTCGCTGAAGAGTAAGGCTGCTGTTTTCTGCCATGAGCAGGTACGGAACTGGATATCCGACTCCTTGTCTCTGGCCATCTGCTGGTCCAGGATGGCGGTGTTCGCATTCTCGGTATCAGAGGGGACGTCCTTGGCGGCGTAGTCAGGCAGCTCAGCGATGCGAGGGCCGACCCAGACACCCGGTCCGCCGAATATAGAGGCCCATCTCGTATCCACGACCTGCGTAGAGGCGGGCTCAACATCCGCATCGCCAGTGGCCGTGGGAATGGACTTCTCGGACATGGCGGGAGCTTCGTTGATGTCGTAGGGAAAACGTGATGAATCCTCCTGGCGGGATTGTCGAGTTCACGAAGCGCAGGTTGCAGAGCCAAGACACAATTCACAAAAACAGCAGCAAGTAGACATGGATAAATAGAAAACGTGAGAGTCAAAATAAGCAAGGGAAAGAGAAACAAAGAGCAGGGGGCTTGCTTTCAACGTGTGTCTGAGATTGTTCTCCATTCTGAGACCTTACATGAACAGCGAATATGGATCCTGGTTGTCCGACCGCAAACGTAGGATCTAGCAGCAGCTTCCTGGATGGGTCCATGTCGTCACTGAGTGGATTTTCATGATATATTTTTGGTCCGCTGAGATTTACAAACCGCTCAGAAGTGTATGTCTGGCTGCTGGTGGAGCAAGGCGGAGGCCTACGCATAAACGGTAGGGACACTCTCACTTAACCATAGCTCCCGTAAATGAACCCATCTAAATCTCAACTACCTGAAGAGTAATCCTGGTGCATCATCGCCGAAATCTCTGTATGTCGATGCCTAAAATAATACATTGCTTGAACGCTAAGTGTTCCTCCCAGTGCCGAGCTTCCGGCGGCCACCCCGAGCAGTCCCACAAGACGAGATCCCAGCGATCAATCCGCGTCATAGTGCACATGGTGAATTAGCCAGAAGGATTCTACGTGGGATATTGATTTTGACATTTCTAAAAATTGTGAGCTTGGGTCGATCGATTTAGAGGAGGACTAACCACCCTTATTGTTGGCGTTAAGTGTAGCAACTCAGCGGAGGTTTTTCTTTGTGAAGTGGTTTTGCCAGATCGAGGTGGATGCTGAACAGGATTCTTAGCTCTGCTGATCATCAATTTCCCCTAACGAGCCATGAGCTGATTACTCCCTTTTGTCGATCTTGGTTGTTTGCGGCGTGTCTTACATATGTGGGGGGACGGGAAGCGGCAACGGCAACGGAAGCGGAAGTCGGGATAAGGAATGGGGAATTTCCCTCTTCTGCCGGATGGGATTTTTGCATACATTTAAGGTATTTGGATTATTGAATGATGCTGTAGCTATTTTAGTCTTTGCAACTGCATCGAAGCTAAGAGTGACCGTTCATCAGAAGATGATAGGAGGTCAATTTCCTCCCACAATGGAAAACAAAACACCGTCTTCTTCTCGCTAATCGATGTGAAGCTTCCACCCAAATCCGGGATCCCGGACTAACCTTCCTTCCGAGGCCCCATGGACCCTCGTCTTGATTCCCTTATATTGAAACCTCTCGCCTAGCGAATTCTCCCCATTGAGTGTAGGAACCCTTTCGATTCCTTGCCCCTGGAGTGCGAATAGTTCGGCCGTGTTTGAACTTTTGACGATATCCATATCTAGGATTGCCGTTTGAATCATGACCGCGACGAGGAATATGATGGTGAGCGCAATTTGGACCACCAAGAAAGACAACCACTCCCATCTGACACGTACGAATGTCTCCTCCTTGTAAGCAGTCCCATTAACCATTTCGTGATTATCTCCATTTCGCATACTAAAATGGTGTAGACATCTGTTAGTTTCACTTTTCCGCTCATTCCTCGCTTCATTTCCCTTCACATCTCGCAAGTAGGAAAAGGGGGTGTAAAAGGCGGGAGGACACTCACAATGCAGTCATTCCATCCGCAACATTGTTGGTCAGTTTCTGAACATTACGCCATGTTTTCTCGTCTATCTCGGCATCCGAAGATGACCTCGACATGTCGTTGAAGAAGTTGCGCCCAAGATTCTCGCCATAGACACCGCTGCCGCCAGTGAAGTCTCCCAGCGTATAAGCGCCGCTGAAGCCGAGGCTGAGGGCAAGCAGAGAGTGTGCGTAAGTCACAGTAACGTTGAATGCGGCATCACCATCCGCATCTTTCATTCGGAAAGATGTGTAATTTTGTCCGTACTTGTAGCCAGGGAAATTCATTTGGTCAATTTGGACGGTTGAAGAGAGTGTTTTCGTGGTAGACGTGCCATTTATGAACTCGGATTCATAGTTGTACACGCAAAAGTGGTAAAGCATTTCGATAGCGCGGAACTTTTGGGACCGGTCAGGGTTGGTGTTACTGTAGATGAAGAAAGACTGGGCCACTGTGGCGGAAAGAATGTCTGTGTTGTTCCAGTCGCCGAGAGAGGTCCATCTGTTTTCCAGCGGAGCATCCTGGTCCGTGACAATGCCATATGGATCTTTCCTAGGAGTGGTCATGTTTAGTTGGATACTGTCGTCGACGTCTTTCCAACGAAGATATCCCAAGTTTTTCGGCAAAGTGACATTGTATACCGTCATGTTGACTGAGGGATCATCTGAAGATGGTTGGGTCCATGTTGTCGTCACGTTGAGCTGATCAGTAACGTTCCTGATGCTGGCACACATTCCTAATGAACTATAGCTGGACCAATTGCATTTTACCTCGGAGCAAGTCGGCTGAGGAACAGGCCATGATTCATTCACTGTGTAGATGGCAGCTTGGTACGCGCTTCGAGTCATGCCGTACCCAATTTGATTCGCTTTTCTCCCGGTTAGTCACATTTCTCGAAAGAATCCTCGAAATGGCTTTTGGCAATGCCTCACCTTGAACCTGAAAATCGTCGAAATCTGAAGCTGGGTTCGGGTAGGATTGCGCAATTGGAGCTGAGACGATACCGGCCGGGTTCACCACGAAATCTTTCTTGTACGTTATTGCCGACTGAGTAAGAAAAGATGTGACGAGGCCAGATAAAAAGACCAGTGCCGCAACCCAAGCAAATGAGATGAATCTAGGACGCAAGGTTAGTGAAAGGGGAAATGAAAACTTTGGCTGCCTCCGTCCTACCTTCCCCTTGCCTTGATTAAGAGAAGAAACGAACCCCATGGGCCGCGACTTGCTTGGTCGAAGTGGTACATATCGTGAAGAGGCCTTGGATGTGAAGCGAACCAATTCCACTTGAGCTGTGAAATAGCCTCTGCTAAGGGGATGATCGTCATTGTGCGACAAATGGTAATGAGGAATGCGAGGAGCGTATTCAATGTCAAGTCCAGAGAAAACTGTGGCATCGGCTTTCCATTAAAATGAGACAGCACAGCAATGATAGCGGCCAAGAGACCGATCGTCAGGACGGACCAGATGATCTCAGGAATCCAGCATTTTAGATGATAAACTGCGCCACGACGTTGTCTGGTTGCGACAGAATGGTGCGGTTGCGCGTCTGTTGTGAGCAACGAATCATTCTTCGTAGGTGTCTGATAGCCATCATCAGTGGAAAACCCAAGCTCATGATACTTTGTGCCGGATGATACTTTCGAGCGGTAAGAGAAATCTGGCGTTGAAGATGACATATGTGGGCTCGTTGTCGATCCTAGCATTTTCTCATCCTCCAAGATCTGGGATACAGGCTGTGCAAAGCCCGGCCGCCTGCTGATCGAGTCACGAGGTATGTTAGACAGCACATGTTCATCCTCTTCCCTGTGTGCCATGATGTCAACAGCTATTGGACTTGGCGCCCAATTGCCAGTTCATTAGTACTAGTGATTAAAAGAGGAGATTGTTAGGAGTTTGAAGAAGAGAAAAGCAAAATAAAGACAGTGACGGCAAGAATACATACGAGATAACATAATGCCTCCTTTTATCAATAAGCCATGCCTGCCGCCGGTTCATATTTGATCCCACACGCCTGAACCTGATGAGGTCAATATCATCTTGGAACCCAGGGCTTTCTATTCAGTGCTGGTCGCGGCAGGGATACCCAAGCTCGATTTCACCCAATGATAAATCTGTAGGGGGTTCGGAATCCGAGCGAGCAGCATTCCCGAGTCCGAGTCACCCAATCACTCATGGGCATCTAGTGTAGGGACCCGATTCTTCGTTTGCTTATTTATTTTGTTTATAGAGCCAAGAAGCAGGTTCAAGGTTCATCAGCGAATGAACGATGGTTGTTATTTTATCCTCGTTTGCTGCCTTTCGTTCATTGGTAGAGATGCCGACCCCCTGGCCATTTTCTTGGCGCTAAAAGTCAGTTTACTCATTGGTTCAAAGCCGAGGATAAAGAATCTTGGAGACCAGCAGTGTCAATATTCTCTTCCGTAGGAAAATGTAGCTGGAGAAACTACTCGAGAACGTTTCTCAGTTAGCGACTGGTCACTACAGTCTAGCAATTCGTGTTTAAGGGAGGAGTGTCTTATAGGAACCAATTACAAGAAACTATCTGCAAACGTGGAATACCCAATTGCTTAGTTGTCTAGGTCATTTAGCATAGATGATGATGAAGATATTGACTGCTACTATGAAACATTGAATCAAGATGAGTGAATGTGGATAATTTCTTTTTTAAAGTATAAAAAGTGATTGCTAGATCTGGACTTTGCTTAACTATATGTACTATTCACGATATAAGTCATGACCATGAAGACGGGTACAGAAGGAAAAGTAATGAATACAGAGGCGGTTAAAACGTGTAGGGACTGACTGATGTCTTCTCCGGTATAGTCTTTATACTCAGACCTATGTATCTTCTCTCGACCTGAAAAGCCGGGGTCACGTCCTGCAAATCATAAGACTTCCCGCGTAATAAAATGGGGGGCCGAATTTGGATACTCTACTGTGCAAATATCGCACTCCCTGATTTGTCCCGATTAATCCTCGCTCCCGCTGGTAGAGCTGCAAGTTGACAAACCCTCATCATCGCCTCCACTCTCTTTATAATGAATTAAGATGGTCTTTAGAGGCGGTTTGCTCTGATCTACCCACCAATTTCACTGTTTGTCGTCAAAGTCCAAGGCTTCAAGGTCATAGTTTCCAACAGAAAGTAGACGAGATGCGGCATCTCTATGCTCAATTCACAGAGCTGCACATTCTGGCGTTAAGCCATGGAAGTCTTTTATAAGTGGCGAGCTGCCCCTTTTAAAAAGATAGCCGACAAGCCCACCATATCCTACGCAATGCTGCGAAGAACAGGAGAGATCGACCGTTGCTGTCAATTTTGAAAAGATTCACGCCAGAGAGACCGAGGAATAATTTGCACGCCTCTAATGCACAATGGAGAGGAGTATCGCCGCGTTTGTCTTGTCTGAAAGGGTGTTGGCTTTTAAGCGGCAGCCTTAATACTCCCTAGTATCCCTTAACTGCATCTTAGCGAGGTTTAGTAAGTATGTGTGTTTGCCAACTGTTGCTCCATGTTCAAGTAGCAGACGAAAAATTGTAATATGACCATATGAAATTGCCCTCATAAGGGGGGTTACCCCGGAAAGTTTTGTAGCGTTGATATCAGCGCCCTTCGAAATTAGAAGCTTGACGATGCCCAAGTTTCCTTCGACTGCCGCGCCATGTAGTGGTGTGGCATCGTCGTTGGCGCGCGCATTAACGCTGATTCCCAGATCCAGAAACAATTTGGTCACATCATAGTGTTCAGCTCTGGCAGATAAATGTAAGCAGCCATAGCCATCGTTATCCCTTGCATGAATATCAGCTCCGTGTCCTATTAATAGGGTGATAAGGTCTATCCGGCCTTGAGAGGCCGCCACAAGTAGAGGCGTCTGCCCGGTCTTGGTGGCATGTGTCAACGATGAACCCTCTTCCAATAAGAATCTGGCACCCTCCAGATTGCCATTCTCCGAGGCCATGTGTAGGGCTGTTCGACCTGCAAGATCCTCTGAATGGAGATCTGCTCCATGATCGAGTAGTAATGTTAAGTGGCTTCTTTCACCCCAAACAGCACATTGATGCAGCGGCGTTTTCCATCATCAGCTGCTACCCTGGGATCTGCGCCGGCTCCAAGCAAAGCGTTGATAAGCGGAGGTCCATGTTTGGGCAAGCTTGCGGCATAGTGCAAGGGTGTGAAGCCCTTGTAATCAGGGGCATCAAGGTTAGCTCCTCGGTTTATCAATACTTTCATAGTAACGAGATGATCTGGCGCCGAGGCCTGGTGAAGCGCCGTGAACCGCTTTTCGTCGCAGGCAGAAATATCTGCTCCATGTTCTAGGAGCCATTCAACTATGATATGATGCCCCTCTTGGGCAGCAGCGTGAAGGGGAGTCGACCCATCGTTATTTCTTCTGGACTCTATCGATGCCCCGTATTCGTGTAAGAGTCTGACATTGGGTAGATCGCCAGCGAGAGCAGCGTAGAGCATTGGCTGAGAACCATCATTTAATTTGACATTAGGATCTGCTCTCCTCTCAAGAAGTTGTCGGACGAACTCTAAGTCTTGCTTGTTTCTCACTGCACTGTGGAGAGGTGTCCAACCATCAGCATCGCCATCTGCAACGCACACACCGCACCCGACTAACAAGTCTACAAACCCAGGGTTTGATTTTGATTCTATTGCGGCAATCCCGAGAGTTGTCGACCCGGCTTTTGTTCGAGCCAGAGGATCGGCTCCATGGGCTATCAGGAAACGAGCCAACGCGAGATAGTTGCGCTGACAGGCAAAGTGCAAAACCGTCCAACCCGAGCGATCTGTAGCGGAAATGTCGGCTCCTTTCTCCACTAACAGCCTGACAACGTTTCGCCTGCCCGCTTTCACTGCTATGAGTAAGGCCGTGACTTTGGAATTAGACGAATAGGCATCAATATCCGCACCTTGGCCGATCAAATACAAGATTGTGTCGACATCCCCATGGCGAGAAGCTAACATAAGTGCGGTTAGTTGGTTTTCATCTTTGAGATTAATGTCCGCTCCTTGTTCTACCAGTTGCTGGACGAGATTAAGATCTCTAGCAGATACCGCCGAATACAAAGTATGGTGGCTCGCTCCGGCCATCTTAGGAAGTAATTTCGCAACACCTTGCAGCTTGTTTCCACCAGCCATAGAAGTCTCGATCTTGATGTTCATCGAATTATGAACTTTTGCGCCGTTGTCAAACAATAATTGCGCTGTTTCGATTTCACGACTGTTTGAAGCGGCTTTGAGTGCAGTCCAGCCCTCGCGGTTTGTAGCTTCTATGTCGGCACCCTTGTTGATCAACAACTGCAACAACTTTGTATGCCCCTCACGAGCGGCAGCGATTGTGCAAGTATCGCCATTGCTATCTCGAATATCAACCACAGCACCATTGTTCAGTAAGTACTCGACAATATCCAGCATGCCTTGTTCAGACGCCATGATAAGAGGAGGGAATGGGCACCTCTTGTCGTTGAGTAAATGCGGATGAAACCCCTTGTCAAAGAAGAACTTCACAATATTGAGCTGCCCACTTACTATCGTTAACGAGAGAGGGGTATAGTACTTATTGCATTGTACGTTTACCGACGCTCCTTTTTCGACAAGAACCTTCACAACCTCAAAGTGACCGCGCTTTGAAGCTTTGTGTAGCGGCGTTTCGCCGTCCACGTCTTTGGCGTTCAAATCGACACCCTGAGAAGCTAGGTACTGGACAACTTTCACATAGCCGAAGAGTGAAGCGTAGTGAAGAGGCATCAAGAGCCTATCATCTCGTACGTACAACTCGTTCAAATTTTCGAAAAGGTATTTGACAACGTCGAGGCGTCCAGATTGAGCAGCCACATGCAGCTGTGTCCATCCAAGACCGAATTTAATATGTGGACTAGCCCCTTGCTCGACCAAATAATTGGCGAGATCAAAATAGCCCTTAAAGATAGCCCTGAATAGCGGCGTGCATCCAGCATTGTCTGTCACATCCAGACTCGCTCCACCAGATACAAGAACTCGAGCCGCACTGAGACGGCCTGTTCTCGCTGCCATGAAAAGCGGTGTGTGGCCGTCGTGGTTTCTAATTGAAGTATCTGCTCCTTTGTCTAGAAGGAACTGAATGATATCCGTACGTCCATCTCCCGTGCCTGCAGCAATGTGAAGAGGTGCCCACCCCTCTATATTGGAACGAGGGGTATTGTCTTCTTGGTCAAGCAAAAACCGCGGAACATCGCCATGTCCGGTTTCAGTAGCATTAACCAAGGACCGGCCTGATGAGCTAGCATTGCTGATATTCGCACCATTTTCAACGAGCAGCTTGAGTATATCAAGATAGCCATTCGCCGTTGCTGCGAGTGCTGGCGTCCAGTTATGCTTGTTTGCCAATTCTAAGTTTGCACCCTTTTCAAGAAGAAGTCTGACAATTTCAATGTGGCCTGAGGTTGTAGCCAACAGAATCGGTGTCCAATCAAACTTGCTCAGGGCGTTAACGTCTGCACCGTTTTCAACCATCGTCCTGGCCAAAACTACATCACCGCTGTCAGACGCAGCACAAAGCGGCGTCCAGCCATCCCGGTTTTTTGCGTTACAATCTGCACCATGCTCAACCAACATGCGAGCAATATCGTTGTGGCCGTGTTCTAATGCTGTATGCAACGGCGTTTGTTCCTTGAGATCTTTGGTTGTCACGCTGGCCCCTGCGTCTAGTAATATGCGTGCTATTCCAGTATGACCAAGCCTGCAACTGATCGCAAGAGGGCTCCTACCGAGCCGGTCTTGTCCATCTATAACATGATCTTCGCTCTCTAGCAGATGAATGACACTGAATTGTAGGCCCAGCCAGGTAGCGTAGCAGAGAGAATTGATTTTGGAAATAATAATTCGACCCAAATATTTCGGCTCTTTGTCTATCATTTGTTTATCAATCCACGCGCTCCATCCCCGGAGAGAATGTGAATCAGGTTCAAGGAATGCATTGACTGTATGCGCGATCATCTCTTGGGATCCTGACTTCACGTGCGTAAACCAAGAATCAGCTGCGTATTCTCGAAACTGCTTTCCTGGGGGCCCCGTTGAGCTATGTTTCACGCATGATGCAAACCGAGAAAACTCCATACCATGTTTCACTTCTGACCACATCCCAGAAAATTGGATATACTGGAGACATCTCTTTGCAAGTAAAGTGTTCTCCAAGACTTCATTGGAAGCTTGGAGTCGGCCGTTGGCACCCAAAACTTGTATAGTACCCGAGATTTTCTGAAGAAGGTATTGCCTGACAGAGAAATGCGTGACATGGACAGTCATGTTTTGATTCGAGGCATCTCGCTGGCCTTGACGCACCTCAATCAGAGAGCCGCATAGGTCGAGAATTTCAGTGTTGATGTAATCCTCGTCAAACTGGTCAGGAAGCTCTTCAATTGGAACTTCATCAGAGTCATCCTCCATCAATATTGCTTCGGTTATCTCGCCGACCGTGAGAGGACGGATGGAAAATGCGGCCCATCTGAGAAGACTGTATGCCCTCTTCATTTCCGGGAGTTCAAAGCTTGATATCGATTCCCAGTTCCGTTCATAGATTTGCATCAAGCCGGAGGGGGTGTTGTTGATAGCTCGTTGGAGCTGTACTTTGTTCATGCCGCGCCGCAGGTTGTCACCCTGCATCTTGAGCCAGAGAAACTGGCCGTCACACCGTGCGGCCATTCTCTGCGTCACATCGTTCTTGATGTCTTCAGCCTTGCTGGAAAGTTTCTTCTCCACGATACTGCGAGAATATGACTCGGTGTCCTGACGAACATCCTGGGTGGTTATTTTGTACTCGTTGAAGCATTGAATACCGTCGTCGTCTTCAAGAGCATGTCGGATATCCGGTTCGTTTCGGCTAACAATCAATATTCGGACGCTGTGTTTGCTTGTAGCCTTTTTCATCACTTCGAACGGCGTGTGCTCAAGTTGACCCAGAGATTTGCATTCATCAATTCCGTCCAATACCAGCACGCAGTTCGGTGAGCTGCCCACAATATCCTCGAAGAGCTTTTCGACGATGTGGTTGGCTGCCCGTTTGTCGACTAGTTCAAGCCATGCGTCGTAGACCACATCAAAAATACCCTCATCTTGGAGCATCAACTGGTATATCCATGACCGAACAACCACAAACGGCTCCGCCTGACTCTCAAAATCCGAGGAGAAAAAGAAGTGAGCGACTGGTGTTGTTAAGGTCTCAGTCAGGTATTGCACCACTCTGGCGCAGAGGACTGTTTTGCCAAATCCAGCCGGACCGTTTATCCAAAGTAAGCTGGATTGGCTTTTCTTTGAAAGCCATGATTGAAACTCGGGTCGGCCCGTGACCCAGTTGCAAGTACCATCCAGCCGCCTCTGAGTAGCCTCGTGGTATACATTGTTTGTCGAATAGGAGCCCAAGAGCCAAGATTGCAGATGTTGCCTTAGTTCCACTAAACATAATTAGACATATACAACACAAAGACTTTCTCTCTAGAGGCGCCTATCTGTATGCGCAGCCGAGTTACTCACCTTTTCGCTCTGCATCTCGTCGTGCGATAAACTGCCTGACTTCGTCCAGCAGATGTGCCTTGTTTAGATGGTCGGCTAATATGCGCGTGAGTGGTTAGCATGGGCGGGACGACTTCAGACCTGGATAAGTAATTGGGGAATACCTAGTGTAGCCTTTGATGTCTGCTCAGCAGTGGTATCATGGGCTGGCAACCCAGGAGGAACCAGGTTGTACAAATTCTGAACAAGATCCTTGAACAGCTTCACCTCTTCTTCTCGCTTTCCCTTCCCCCACAAGGCCCAGGCGACTCTCTGTTTCCGCGATGACGACAATACGTGCTGCCCCGGCGAGCGGTTGAGCCGAGTTGAGCCTTCGTCTCCAGGCTGACACAATGTATATATGATCTGCAATATCTCTTGGATCGTCTTCCTTGTGTCCACGTCCTCAAGTGCTTTGTGGTGGCCTTCCTTGAGGGTTTCCCCGCGTTGGAGCCCAATATCGCGACCCCACTGCTGGAAGCGCAGATTCTCCGCCTGGAACTGCGTCTCGAGGTGGTGCATGTCCTCGGCAGAGTTGCGGTACTGCTGGGTCTTGTCTAGGGCGTCTAGACATGTTGAAAACAAGCCGGCCAAGCCAGCGACGCCGACGACCAGCCCTGCTACCTCCATGATGTGTAAACTTAGATGCCTCGTGAGCGATGGATGGAGGACTGAGAGCGCGCCTCCTCCTCACGCGAAGTATTATTTTCTCACTCGCTGCATGATGCATGATTATTCACCCTGGGAGGTGCTCCATCTACGATGAAACCGAAATGCCACAAATGTTACAGGCAGCTAATCCTCTAGATATATGACATGTAGTGATAAAAGGCCACTAATTCGTCATAAAGAAGGATGATATCATCACTTCGAAGCGAATAAGCTTCTGTCTTTCGCTATATAGACCGTTTTGAGGCCTAGATGGACTTACATTAACTATTAATCCCGCATGCGAAAGTTCCTCTTTTACTGCGTATATGTATGTCCTTGTTGGTCTTGTTGGTCGTGTTGGTCACGAGGGCTATGTAACAGTGGCTCATATTGCTACGTGGCCAAGGGAATGAGCCAATAAACTGACGAGAAGCCATGGACAGAGTATTTCTGGAATAGGCAGAGTGTAAGGCAGAACAAGAGAATTCAAACTAATCGCATGTACATTACCCCATACGAATGTCGCGCATAGATTCATAAATCCTGTTGATCCCATTGAAATAGAACATCTATCACAAAGGTATTTAACGGTGCTGTACGCTGCTGGACAACATCACAGGAACTGATTTAGGTGAGAGAGTTCGAGTCTGGAAGTACACAGCAAGGGAAGATGCCAGAGTCTGACATCTTAACACGATTAATTCGACGGAGACTGGTTTATTTGACGTTTATCACAATCTGTTTCAGAACTTCAACCTCAAGCACGAAATACAAATCATGAAAGTGGAAACTACATCTAGGCATGTAAGTCAAAGCGGTCAAGATTCATCACCTTGGTCCACGCAGCCACAAAGTCCTTCACAAACTTGGCATTGCCATCAGAGCTTCCGTATACCTCGGAGATGGCACGCAGCTCAGCATGCGAGCCCAGAACCAAGTCCACGCGGCTCGCAACCCATTTCTTGGCCCCAGTCTCGCGGTCAACACCATCATAGCGCTCACCATCTACAGCCTTCCACTCGGTGCCCATGTCGAGCAAGTTCACGAAGAAATCATTCGTCAACACTCCTGGACGGCTGGTGAAGACACCGTACGACGAACCATCATAGTTAGTGTTGAGAACCCGGAGGCCACCCACGAGGACAACCAGCTCGGGTGGTGACAGAGTGAGTAGGTTGGCCCGGTCAACCAGAAGATGCTCTGTCTTGACCTTGTCCTCGGACTTTCCGTAGTTTCGGAAGCCATCAGCATATGGTCGAAGGTGAGCAATGGACTGGACATCCGTCTGCTCCTGGGTAGCATCGCCACGGCCAGGGCTAAACGGAACCTTGACCTGGACGCCAGCGTCGCTCGCGGCCTTCTCCACGGCTGCCGAGCCACCGAGGACGATGAGATCGGCAATGGAGACCTTGTTGGCTCCGAATCTCTGCTGCACGCCCTCCAAAGCATGGAGCACTTCGCCCAGCTGCTTGGGGTTATTGACCTCCCAATCCTTCATGGGCGAGAGACGGACACGTGCGCCGTTGGCACCGCCGCGCTTGTCACTGCCTCGGAACGTAGAAGCAGAAGCCCAAGCGACGGAGACGAGCTTCGACACGTCAGGTACTGCCGAAAGGATCTCATTCTTGAGTGCGGGAATTTCACTCTCGCTCAGGGAGGCAGGGCCTTTAGGAATGGGGTCTTGCCAGATAAAGTCCTCTGAAGGGGTCTCTGGTCCAATATAGCGGGCTCGAGGGCCCATATCACGGTGGGTGAGCTTGAACCAAGCCCGGGCGAAGGCATCGGCAAACTCGTCAGGCTTCTCGAGGAACCGACGTGCGATCTTTTCATATGCCGGGTCAAAGCGCAGCGACAGATCAGTGGTGAGCATGGTTGGCTTCTGCTTCTTTGTGGGATCAAAGGCATGAGGGATGATATCGTCTGCGTCCTTGGCCACCCACTGATTAGCACCAGCCGGGCTCTTGGTGAGCTCCCACTCGAACTTGAAGAGATACTCGAGATAGTTGTGGCTCCATTTGACAGGCGTCTTGGTCCAAGTGACCTCGAGGCCACTGGTAATGGCGTCTGCTCCCTTGCCTGAATTGAATGAGTTGGCCCATCCGAATCCCTGGGACTCTGGACCTGAAGCCTCGGGCTCTGCGCCGACGTGAGAAGAAGGCGCTGCACCATGAGTCTTGCCAAAGCTGTGGCCTCCGGCGATGAGAGCCACTGTCTCTTCATCATTCATGGCCATGCGACCAAAGGTGACACGGATATCATGCGCGGCCAAGACTGGGTCAGGGTTTCCGTCTGGGCCTTCTGGGTTCACATAAATCAATCCCATATCTGCCGTTCAATTAGTAATATGTCCAATAGAATGATGTCACAAGAAAAACCTACGCGCTGCCGCAAGGGGCGACTGGAGATCACCCTTGTGGTTACTCGGTCGCTTTGGCTCATCGCCATCAACGACACCATGTCCGCCGAGACCTTTGAAACCGACGTCGTAGCGGACGTCGTTACCGAGCCAGGTCTTCTCCCCGCCCCAGTACGTCGACTGGTCCGCCTCCCAGGTATCAGGTCGGCCGCCAGCAAAGCCGAGGGTCTTGAAGCCCATGGTCTCGAGGGCCACATTGCCCGTCAGGATCATCAGGTCGGCCCACGAGAGCTTGTTGCCGTACTTCTGCTTGACGGGCCACAGCAGGCGACGAGCCTTGTCCAGGGAGACATTGTCAGGCCAGCTGTTGAGGGGGGCAAAGCGCTGCTGGCCGCCGCCGCCGCCGCCTCGGCCGTCAAAGACCCTGTAGGTGCCGGCCGAGTGCCACGCCATTCGAATGAAGAGGCCGCCGTAGTGGCCAAAGTCGGCGGGCCACCAACTCTTCGAGTCAGTCATGACGGCGGCGATGTCCTTCTTGAGGGCATCGTAGTCGATAGACTGGAAAGCGGCGCGGTAGTCGAAGGACTCATCGAGGGGGTTGGAGACATTGGTGTTTTGGCGGAGGATGTCGAGCTTGAGCGAGTCGGGCCACCAGTCACGGTTGGTGGTACCACCTCCGCCCGTGTTTCTGAGGTGGACGGGACACTCGCCTTGGCCTTGACCCATTGTTTATGTCGCGAGGGGGGTATCAATTGTTTGTTATGGATTGCTACGACGTTGCCCTCGAGTTAACTACACGAGGACGGCGAAAGATAACGAAGACAACTGTGTATACAAGAAGGAGAGACGATATCGCAGATCGTTCCACTCCCAGAAGCAAATAAACAGTTGAGGATTACGAAGCGAAGAGGAGGGCGACATGAATGCGGGGTTGTCGTACTTATACCTGACAGCTCTGGTTAATTCTGATGTCATGAAGGCCGGTATTGACGGAAGCAAACTCTATGTAGCAACGAAACTTGCCAATGGGAATGTGGTATTCCCTAGAGCGAGGCCGAAGTGGTGTGCTACCCCTCACAAACGCCATGTAAGTCGACCAGGACTATTTCAAACTCTGCCACTCTCATTCGTCAAAGCTCGCACAGACCCCTCTTTTCCCCGGGAACGAGTACCCAGGGGCTTCCACCGCCATGTTCCATCTTCTTTGTCTGCCGAGGATCGTTTCCGAAGCTGCTTCAAACTTCCGGGTGTAGGCCGGATCGCGACCTTGAGCTACCCTACACCCCCGGATCATCCCTTGTGGCGCGGGCTAATCTGTTGCGTCTGATTTGCTTCAGTATTCCAGAGTCTTTCTTTGCTTATTATCTGCCCTTAGGGGCCTTAAGAGTTGCAGAATCCCGGGGTTTTGGTCGCAGTGCGGGGAAGAAAACGATCCTTTGAATATCACACTGAGTTGATGTAGGTGACGTCAGCGACTAATAATTCCAAATCAATAATTCCAAATCATTCAAGAGCAACAGAACTAGTGTGTTTCATAGCACTAACTTCGGCTCTGAGGTAGCATTGCCCGGATCAAGGTACGGGAATGTAGACAGGCTATTCTATATCGAACAGCCGGCGTGATTAGCAGCACAGAGTCAAGAGTTGAAACCCACTGCCGACGTTCAAAGTGGAGGATCAGGCCCACCCCCGGATTGCTCTTATTAATTACTTGTCATTTACAGGCCCGTTGCTGTTCCCGCAGCCCCAGTTGGCAATGGTGGATATTTCACGATCGAAATATTGCTCAGGAATTATTGTCGACTTGTGATCAGACCATAACTATCTGGGTATGGGAGCTCCACACTCTCGCGATATTCTGACAATGGACTGGCACAAGAGGCACAATTGAAGATAGAGGGAAATAAAAGACCCTTATTGCCTGTATTCAATTACAACATCCCGACGTAAATTAAGCTGAAAATATCAAATCTGCCACAAGATGAAAGTGCAATCGCTTCTCTGACTCCGCTGAATGCTTATGAATGAATAGAGCCCTCCTTGTCGGCAATTTGCTTTTGGCGCTTGGATCGACGTCGTCGCTGGTAGAGGAAAAAGGCTAGGTATAAAAGCAGAATAAATGCGATCGCCCCAAAGACGATGCCGACGATGATCCCGGGCTTCAGCTTTTTTCTGCCGTCGCTCGAACCGCCGCCACCTCCGCCGGCGTAGGTTCCTTTCGACGAACTCTTGCCGCCTTTCCCTCCACTAGTACTACTGCCTTTAGGGGCCGCATCGACGAGTGTTGTGAGAGACTGAAATGCGAATGCGAAAAGAGTGCAAAATATCGGACTTGCAGGGGACAAAATGTTGGCAGGCATTTTGATTAGGTGGGCCAGTGAAATGGCTGATGATGGTAGTTGTTCTTTGATGGCGCGATGGTTGGAGACGCTTGTGTACAGAAAATAGAGTTAATTTAGACTAGGCTTTTAGATTGCAATTAGAAAAGACTAATTTACTTTTCCTTGAGACATGATTCTTAAATAGTTAATGAATGCATCGCAGCTCTACAAGGAGGCCGATGATCACCGACGTCATTACATAAGATTCTGGCATGCTTTGGGAAAAGATGTAGCAGTGAAGGACCAAGTATGACGTCGGGCCTGTTGCTCACAAATGATATACTGGCAAATCGCTGATCAGTGGCAGAAGAGAATATATGACGGTTGATGGTAGTATTCATATCGCGTCATTGCACCTATTGCACACCACTGCATGATCAAAGTTCTACGCAGAATCGAAGATGCTCTCGCCCCTGCCAGGTCATGGAGTAATTTGCTGTAGCTTACGCCTGTCAATGATGAAATGAAAATTAGTTCCGGCCCCCTTGGCCTTGAAGTCATCGGAGTTTAAATAGCAGTAACAAGCTTAATGATGCAACATCCCATCGATGATAACATAATTCGAATTCAGAGCGCTCAATTTATCATAATAAGAAAAGTAGCACACAGGGAGCGACTTAAATGCCTGTATTAATCCCACCACTGGAGACTTTGCTTTGCATTGTAGAAGAAAGAAGATCTAATTGTATGCTGATGCTTTCGGTCTTTAATTGACCAAAACATGTAGGCATCGACTGGAGCAATTTGATGGGCTACTTCTTAGTGATAGGCACAACGCCTTCATCCTCGACGAGTTTAGAGTGGATGATGGTTCCGTCACGCTCTGCTTTGTAAAGCTCGTATGCCTTCATCTTCTGAGTCGCCAATCCCTTCCCCCCGAACAGGATATCCATATCTTCCAAGGCCACTCCATTCGTCTCTGGGATGAGGAAGTAGACATAGAGACCCCCGAGAACAGTCATGGCACCGAAAAATAGGAAGGTGCCGTATGTGATGGATTTGAACATGTACGTTACCGCGTACGAGACATAGAATTCTCCGAGCCAGTGGGAGCAAGTCGTCATGACGAGGCAGAAGGCTCGAATCCGCGTGGGGAAGATTTCAGCGGCGATGATCCATGGGAGATTCCATCCGATGGCCTGCAATTAGGTGGTTAGCGACTTTCGATAGCAGGTAAATACCGAAGGGAAGATGAGATAGAAATGTTCAAGTGCTTACATATCCAGCTCCGAAAATATATATGAAGGCTACGGCGCTGTTGGACGCAGCTGTCGGGTCTTGAGACGTGTGAAATGAATCGGTGATGGCGGCAAATGCTCCCACGTAAAACATGGAAAATGCGCACATGATGGAGCCAGCGAACAGTAAAGTCCGTCGTCCAAGCCTATCAACAAGGAAAAGGAAGCCGATTGTGGCAACGATACCCTTCACAATACCGTATATACCGGTTGAGAACAGCTTCGCCGACTGAGGCACCGAGCCGGAGTTAGCTGGGTATCTTCTCAAGGTCAACGGGTCAACTCACAGCTCCATGGTAACCTAGCACCTGGAAGAAGGTAACAGAGAAATTATTCATAGCGTTGATGCCTGTGCTATTTTGGAAGATCATGAGCAGGCAGCCGTGGATGAGGCGAGGAGCCATTTTCTTGGTAAAGGTTTCGGACACAATTGCTTTGAATCCAGAGGCTGAGGTGATAGAAAGCTCATGTTCCATTTGGCGTTCATAGTCTGAGAGCTCACTGGCCACGTACTCGTGCTCAACTGGAAGCTGACGGAGTCTGATGAGTGCATTCGTTGCCTCCTCCCGGCGACCTTTAGAAAAGTACCATCTTGGGCTTTCGCAGAGAGGGATTAGGCCAAGAGCCATTAATGTGGCCGGAATGAACTGGAAGGCAATGGGGATAAACCACTGCGTGTCGCCAACAGACGAAACCTTGTGTCTGTCAATTTCATTGATTCTATTATTGGCATAATAGTAGCACTCACATTTTGCTGGACCCCATAGTTGATCCAAAACCCAACAACTGTACCAACCTGGACTCCAATCTCGAACTGAAAACATTGTACAGTTAGTCAGATGACACAAATTTCTTTTAGAAGTCGAACTTACACAGCCTATAATACCGCCTCGAGCTGCCGATGGTGCACATTCCGATAGGTACTGAGGCACAACAAATGTGGTGCCACCTACTCCCAGCCCGCTGATGAAACGGCCGACGTAAAAGACGGGAATGTTGCCTTTGCAAACCATCTGCAAAACCACTCCAATATTGAACACCCAAGCTGCGGCCATGAGTGCCCGGCGACGGCCAAATCTTTCATTTGACCAGTAGGCTAATATCACGCCAAAGAAGGCGCCGCCCTGGACTAAGATAAGAGAGACGTAAGCATGCCTTGTCCTAGTAAAAAGTGACCCAATGAACAGTTCAGCTTACAGGTGTTTACCATATGGGCCTGTATGGCACTGGCATCTTTGTTGGCAAGTTCGAAGCGGCGAATGAAGGACTCCAATGAGAAAACACCTCCGATAAATGCTAGGTCATAGCCAAAAATAACAGAACCTCCAGCAGCGACCAAGATCACCCAGAAAAGTTGCCAGTTGTATACCTCGCGAGGCGCGGAAGTGTCTTTGGCGTTGAAGCTGAACCCCATCTTCGCAATGAAAATAGATGGTTCGGGAAACTGGGGAGAAGTAGTTGGATAAGTGAGGTGAGAATGAGTCCGTCGAGAATCCACGGTTTATAACAGGGAAGCCGACTGCAGCCATGACAACCCCCTCTTATCTTTATTGGATCCGAGAACAGACCCTGGATATGTCAGGGAGGGTGTGAGCTGCTAATCAGACAGATAAGCTGATGAATTCATGCCCCTCTTCCCCGCAAATTCCTGGCAAACCCCAGATTTTGAGATGCAATCAGCGACCAGGAAGTCAGAGGCGGTGGAGTTTAGACGATGATAGCGGCTGGTGGCCGAGTCATGGTCACCTCCGAAGCTATAAATTAGGTCTGAATCCTAAGTCGCCACCCTAGTTAATCGCCTACCCCCCTTAATCGCCTACTTTTTATATTCTAACCTCTGACTTTTCTTTATATATTACTCTGTAATTACTTATATAATTTTTATTCTTTTTAATTATAAATAATATTATTCGAATTATAAATACCTAAATATTCTGAATATAACCTCTAGTAAGCTATCTGTAAGGTAGAATCTAGTATTTTATAGCAGAAGGTATACGGGTACTAGGGAATTCCTAGAATAACCCTCTGTAATTATATATCGGGTTATAAAATACAGATAATTAAAGCAGAGACCTGGTAGTAGCTCTTAATAATCTAGGAAGTCTATTTAATAAAATAGATACTTATCTAAAACTTAATTAGCTTCCCTCTAAGTTATACCAGGGTTAAAGAGATTATCTAGTTCCTCTTATATAAAGAGGGTAACCTTAACCCTATTAGTAAGTATTAGATAGAGGGATTTTTATACTATAACCTGGAGGTTAGAACTCTTTAAGATAAGAGACTTAACTTCTTATATACTAAGGGGACTATAGCTAATAAAGTAAAGGAGTTCTTTATACTTAAGTATATTCTGGAGATCTAATAGATCCCTTCTTATAATTATTAGAATATAGATAAAGCTAGGATAATAGAAGGAATAGGAGATAATAGCTTAGTTCTTAGATTATTTTATAAGAATTAGGCTGCTCTAATACAGTCTAGTTTATACTTTTAGACTTTAATAATTAAGTATATTAGTATAATAGATCAGTACCTTAAGCCTCTTATTATATTTAAAGGGAAGGGGGTTTAATAGTAATAGTTTCCTAATAAATTAGAATATCTAAAAGAGTAGAATTTTATAGTTTCTAAAAAGGGTTAGATTTCTAATAAGATTATATTAAAATAGCTATAAGAGATATTTATCCTATTAACTAAATCTATAAAACCCAGCTAGTATTTACTTATTATTAATAGCTATAAGAGTTATATAACTATTAAATTTATATAGAAATACTTTAAAAATCAGATCTAGCTTCTATTCCTTCTATTATATTTATTATATATATTATAACTACTTAACTTATCTATCTTTTCTACTCTAAAGAGAGCCTATTATCAGTATCTCTTATAATAATAAATATAGATAGATTTATTACCTATTAGGAAGGTAATATTTCTTAAGTATTATTATCTAGCTAGATAAACAGTCTTAATATATTTTAATATATTAACTAGTTAGAAATTATTAGGAATATAGCTAGTTAATATTATAGTCCCCTTATTAAACCTATATATACTATTACCTTAATATACCTTTTAGACCCAGCTATTAATACCCCTAGCTATACTAATAGTTAGATTAAAGAGGAAAGAAGCTATAATAACTACTCTGAAAGGGAGTTACTAGCTTTATAGCTTAATATAAGACTTTATATATAAGAAGGAGGTAGACCTAATAATCTAACTACTATTTTATAAGATCTATAAGGGTCTTAATAAATAGTAAATATAGTTATCTATCTTAAATACTGAAAATATATACCTTAAGGAGTTAAATAAGCTCTTATAACTAAAGAAAAGATATACTATTTATCTGGATCTAAATAAATACTTTATTAAAATATCTAATATTATTAATACAAGAGAACAGTATAAGGGCTAATTAGATACTAAGATCTCAGTTTAGGAATTAGAAAATTATATTTTTAAAGAGCTATACTTTACCTAGTAACTTAAATAGCTTTATTTAAAAATAATAAATTTTTTTATATTAAGAATTATACAGTTACGTTATATAATTTAATCTGTGAAAGTAGGCGATTAAGGGGGGTAGGCGATTGACTAGGGTGGCGACTTACAATAGTCACATTCTGTGGGACATTTCGGAGGTTAAGCTGTTAAGAGAATAGCCTCCGAGGTTTATATCTCGGAGCGGTCCTCCGAACTTATCCTCCGAAAATTGTACATGTATTC